ATTCGATAATTGTCCACCTAGCTGTGTAATTCTGGACGAGTAGAAATAAGAACGTTGACAATTAATTTCTTTATCAAGTCAGGAGATAATCGAGTGGATCCCAGAAAATCGATTGAAAATTCAAGTCTGGTACGGTTTACAAGACAATTTGGAAAGATGGTATATTGGATATGGAATTATGAGGAAATGTATTAGGAAAGGTGCGAAGAAAATTGCGTCATTACAGTTAAAGTTTTAAATATATCTAAAAGGTTTTAATTGGATTTGTTGAACAAGGTTTATAACGAAACCTTTTCTTATTATTATTTTTTTTTTATTTAAACAAAAAATAATAGTTATTATAAGGCCACACAAATTAGCATTTTCAGTTCCCAGGGGTTATTATATGTAAATCGTGATATGAGTTGAATAATATTAATATTAGAATTTTTTTAGTAAGAAATTAGTTAAATCGATATGATTTAAAAACATATATTATACTTTGTTGTAATTTAAATCATATGATCTATTATATTACTTCACATTTAATCATATAATCACTGTATGTATATATTATAAGCTTTTCTAGTATTTGAAAATTTTTTACATTACGTTATCTTATATAATTTGTCCTGAAAGAAATCAAAATATTATACCTCTCACGTAATTTTCTTAATGCCGGCCAAAAATCACGTGGTGAAATTGACTTTTTATTACATCATATGTCGTCATTTGAGAAAAGTATATCCCTTTTTAGTATAAATATTCCCACAGAAAGAAAATCTTGTCCAAAAATCTTCACTTCTAACCATTTCAAGAAAAAAAAATGGTAAATTAAAAACATTTTTTGCTTTGAACTTTTGATGAAAAGAAATTCTAACTATATTAATTTTTAGGCACAACCAAATTATACTAACTTGTCCCAAGCCTTACAAACACTTGCCCACGAAGTTACTTTCGTCCCAAATATGCCAAACTTGAACGTTGCAAACCAGTTAACAATAATTCAACGATCACTCTCAAATTTGACTGATAATATCACAGACTTGACTGATACAGTCAAAAACTTGTCTAATAGAATCGATGATTTGACCATCACTATTCAAACAACTGCGGAAAACACGTATGCTTTTTTTTTTGTTTTCCCATAAATAAAGAAAATGTTAGTGAATAATTGATATTTTTTTTATGTTTTAGGGACGCGCGAAATCTAGCACGAATTTTTAACTCGCGCTTATCCAGTCCAGACTTACAATTGGAACTAGTTCCGGACATGGCTGGTAATGTCCCACAAAACTATCCCCAATCGATCACTGCATTTCGGGAGATGACAGGTCTGTATATTAGCACAATCTCAACTTTCAAAACAATTAAAATCATTTTTACTTAATCAATCAAATCATATATAAAGACCATAGTTTAAACTCTCTCATGGCATTCTACGGGTTGCAACCTACTGGTACTGTTGAGGCTCGACGAAAACGATTTGCAAAATACATAGGTGTCCAATTATTTTAATCGTTATAGCGATCATTACATTTAATATTGCTTATGTTACATCAATTTATAGCATTCTCATTCTAATTAATATCATGCGGTATTAGATTAGATACAAAAAAAAATATAAATAAATATTTGTTAAAGCTTATAATATTACTGATAATGAAAGTAAGACTCTTGATGTAACGCAAACGTTCCCAAATAATAAATGATCAAATAAAAATAAAGAAAAGCGTTTAATGATTTTTAAAAACTATTGTCAACAGTTAATTATTTCCATCAATAATTACTAACAGAAATTTGTTTCATCAAGGTTATTAATTTATTAAATACCTCCATCATCAACAAATTTTTCTACGTTACAATAATCAATACAAAAGGGTTTACTTCACCATTTAATAATAGACTAGAACAGACAACTCTTAAGACATTGCAATCTCGGTCATCATAGAATGTAAAGAATTCCCCTGGAATAAATAAACTCACGGCTAATGGAATACCTAATATATTATAAACTTGCTCATATAAAATTTAATACGTTACGTTTAAATGTTCTTGATAAATCAATAGCCGCCACAATTGTTATCAAACAGGATATCTGCCGCATATATTACAATAAAATGCGTTACCTAATTTTGTAGCCGCTGACTCTGGTAAATGATCTATACCATCTCCAACCATCGCAACTACATTCAGTAACCTTCAAATTGAAGTGATTTAATTATTTGTGCTTTTCCATTTGGTGATGCCCCGCATGAAACTCTGCAAGATCGTATTGTGTTGTGCTGTGAGTAATTCATCGCGACAGCTTTTCCATACGACGACGTAAGGCCCAACTGCTACTTTAGCTCAAGGTTTAACTGCGTCAGATTAAAATTTACAACCTGCAAATGATTTATTAACAGCCACCAATACGGCTGTTCTTCCAAATAGTACTTGCGATTCCTTAATAATCGTTTTATCTGGAAAGATTTGATGTTAATAGAAAGGAACCTTACGTTACCAATCAATACAGAATGACTTTGATGTGGTGTCGTTGTAGCTGTAAAAGCAGCATATGAAGTTCTTATAACTATATTACACTCATTACCTAATCCAGCGAAATTTAACATCATACATTTCAATATCTTTCCGTAGTTCACAATGTAATCTTCCAAGAGGATATTCCCTTGAAGATTCGGCTGCTCCAACAATCACGATTAAGATTCTTTAGTCGATTCCAAGTTATTCTTTATATTTCAAAATGTGTAACATCTGTTGATTTGTTGTAAGCGTATCGGTCTTATCGAAGTGATCTTTTCCTGCCTCCTCCTTCCACTTTGCGCTCCAATACCAGTTCGAACCATAACAGCCGTCGGTGTACTAAGAGCAATGCACATGGACATGCAACTAAATACATAACATGAGACAAACTATGAAATAATTGTTGCTACCCTTAAAAATTTCCGGAAAATTTTATAGATCTCGCGAGTATCATCTCCTAACCTACGAATTTAAGCAAGCTCAATCCAATAACTACAGACACAAAATAATCCGTGACGGTATTGGCAAATTCTTATATCGAAGCTTTAGATGTTTGAGCTTCTTCAACAATTTGAGACAAGACTGTATCTTTCACAGAATGAGCAACTTCTGCATCAAAAGTTCCTTAATCCGTACCACCTATCACTAAATCTTCCGGTTGTTTATTAAAAGGATTGACTTCCACTGCAACCATGATTCATCGACGCTTAAGTAACTATTTATCGGCTGGAACCTTACAATCTTTACGATATCACCAACTTGAACTAATTCGGTTCAATATATTCCGAAAGGTAAATGAACTTGCCCTGGAAACCAGTAGGAAAACTTAGTGACCTATAAAATGCTGAACGATTTCTCTTGTACGAGCCAAAGTTCTAATTGCGTTTTTTGATTATTATCGGAGATAAGAGCGTCAAAATTCATCAATACTTTCAATGTGTTCGAACTCCTTCTCGTTCAATTACTTGAGCATGATCGGGACTTTCATCCCATAAATTTGAAGATCAACGTTTTGGTTTAATTGGAGTCTCTATTAAATTGGATGCCGATTGTTAATATAAAAAGATCGAATCATTCTTCGCTGTCGCTCTTCAGAGAGCAAAGATACTTTGATTGACAATCCAGCGGCGCCATGGTAATTTTCTCGATGCTGTTCACGCAAGAACAAGTCATCTCAAGTACTTGTATCTGACAAAATATTATCTGAATCAAAGTATTTGTTAATAGTGAAATGAATCTTCTGGTTGTGAACTCTTTAATGTTAAAAAGTTAAATTGTTATTTGATCGTCAAACTACAGTCATTTTTTGAATTTTGTCAATATTATTTATATTTTCTTGGTACGTCAAAACTAAAAATATTCAATACCTCAAAATCTTCATAATCTTTAATCAATTTCTCTTTAAAATCAAATATCTCCCACTCATTTTAATCTCACATCCAATATTGATTATTCCGTGTGTATCCTCAAAGGCGTTTTTAATAGAATTGACACGAGACATACACGTCATTCCTTTCACTAGCAACGTAATGGTTTTTTTGTGAATCGTGATTTGATCGACATATCCACAATTTCGATCGTTTATATTTTTGTCATTTTTCTCATTGAAAGAAATTGTCGCTTCATTATTTCTAAATTTACACTACGATTCCTGATAACGAAGAAACTGGATTAGTTATTGAATTAACATAAGACTGACATGAATTAGAATCACTTCTACTTCAACGAAATGCTGTTGAAATATCAATGGAGAAGCTATGGTTGAAGTAAATTCTTGTAAATCCCCGGGTGATATTAATATTACTATAATCTCATGTCGATTAGCCAAGGAACATTTGGATTTCGAATTTTTTTGGTCCGTTGATCCATTTGTTTGATCCGAACTTCAAATGATTTTGAGTCGGATCAGAAGAAATCGGAAGAATTAAATAGGACTATTTGTTTCTTTCTTTATAAAAATAATAAAGGGAATGATTATTATTACTATTTACAAAAAAAAAAAAGGAAAAATATGATAATTCTACTGTGTATAAGCAAAATTTTATATTTCTTTGTTCGAAAATAGGGAGAAAAATTTTTTTTTGTAATACACACAACTTACGTAAAAAAATTAAAAAAAAAACGGGAAATTTTATTATTTAATTTTTGATTTAATCAAATGAAATTTTGACAATAATTTTAAACGAGAAATTATATTATACTCTAAAGACTTCCGAAATTTGAGATTAACTCATTCTGTTTAAATCGTGTTCACATGTTAAAATGTTTCACAATGTTTCATGTCCAAATTAAAACGGGTAAAAATTTTCAGGGTATAGTTGTATGAATGTATGATTTCCTATTTTTAGAAAAAAAAAAAATTTTTTTTCGTCGTTTTTTTTTTTTTTTTTACTTCGAACTTTCATTTTATTTTCTGGTAAAGCTGAAGTTCTTTTATTTAAATTTACTTTAAGAAATGATATAAACCCTTATTTCATTTCTTTTTTAAGGAACGGTTCCTTTCTTCGACTTAGCTTCTTGGACTTGAAATTGGCAGTAAGTTTCTTTAGGCGGGTGTGGTTTTGGTGACGTTAATATTTTGAAATAATACTAATGCCTTATTTTTTTTTTTTTATTTTTCTAGTTCTATACTTTGAAACGGAACTATGAAAGTAAGTGTCTTTGGGTGTGTGTAGTAGTAGTTATTGGAATTACAAAGCAACAATCAAGCCTCCTTTTTATTTTATTATTTAGCTTTCAGGCACCTAAACGGTAAGGGCGGACATCTACTGATTAATGGGATTTTTAAATGGAACTATGAATGTAAGCATCTTTAGGTGGGTGTAAATTTGTTAATGGTATCAGTTATAAAGCACTATTAAATACTTACTTACTTTATTTTTTGTTTCTCAGATACATAACTAGGTGGAGGAATTAAGAGTAGACAACTATAATAATTTATGAGAAAATATTAATGTCTCAATGTTTTTATGTTTAGAATTTCATATTAATTTGTTTGTGACTTGTATACACTTGTATTGAATTAATTAAATAAAATTTAATTTGTAAATTGTGATAAATATGTTATCTTTTTATTATTTTTTCGATTTTTCGATATATTATTATTAGTAATAATCAAATTTAGTTAGATTGATATTAATTGATAATCTTCCATATTACAATATGAAACACGATTACGATTGTACTTGTATAACATAAATAAATGAATTTCCCGAAAATAATTAACTTAGGAAAAAGGTTAGTAAATAACTTAATTCTGGAAAATGTTTGAAAATAATTTTAATTTAGGGAAAAGATATTTTTGGAAGTTTATTGATTTGCTAATTATTTAATTAAACAATAGTTTTTTTGTAGATATTAAATGAAAATTTCCCACCTGTAAGTTAATAATTTAAATGAAAATTTTCCGTGAGTAACTATAAATGGGCTTTGGAACTGTTAGGGACAGAAGTTGATGAAATTTCAAAATCTCAAAAATGGTAATAAGAGATTTCGATAGTATTTTTTTGCAATCACGAATTTTTTATTTAACTATAATTGGTTTTTTTCCATCAAAACAATAAAACCAAATTTTTTATTTATTTTTTTATCTAGATAATTATAATTAGGCCTTTTAAATTGAATTTATAGAACTCACATGCATGACACGAAATTTTGATCAGCATAAAATACATTTTTCGAAATATTTTTTCAAATCTCTCACAAGCTTTATAATGTCTTCTATTATTGAACTTTCATATATAGATGAATATAATGCCAAAGACTTTGCTAAAAAAGTTAGTAAATATTATTATTATTATTTTTTTTTTTTTTACTAAAATATAACAAACAAAATAAAATAGAGTGAAGATGATAATAAAAGTGATGAGAGTGAATTAGAAAATGAAGAAACATTTGCTTTCCCAATTACGAGTTCCAAAAGTTATATATACAACCGTTCCTGTAGAATATCCAGATATATTTCTAGAAGGAGTTGTAACAATATATAATGTAACTGGTTGGGAAAATCCTATGGATGCATTTTTAGATGTAAGTATCATATATTTTCTTTTAATTTAATAATAGAATCTAAAATTTTGTCTAAAATTTTTCTTTATTATAAAAAAGATCCAATACATATTCAACAAATTGTTTAGGTAGCATCACAAATATTCAAGAATGTCCATTTTTTGGTGGAATACCTGTGAAAAAAAATCAAAGAAAATGTGAAGGCATTAAATTTTGTGAATTTACTGATACAGAATTTATTAATCAAGAACATTGCAGTGTTAACCTTGATTCAGAAATTTTTCAACAATATAGACAACAAAATAATAATATTATTAATGAAGCTAAAATATACATGTTGTTACAATGGTTTCGTAGCTTCAAATAAAATCTCAAAATGGTAAATAAAACTAAGACAATTACTCAAGAAATCACAGGTGAGGATTCACAATAACATCAAAGATTATTCTCAATATAAAACGCGTAAGATAATACACAAAAATAAATACAAAGTTAACTTAAAGATATTTCAGAGATTATACTTCAGAGACTCTAAGTCAATACAGTGAATTAATACAATATCATACAAAGGGTTTACTAACAATAATTAAAGGAATTGCACAAATGCAAAAGGTCACAGATAATTTATAACAATTTCAAAGGGTTTGCGAAGAATAAGTTTATATTTGATTAATTATACTCCTTTATTAATATAATATAAGTTCAGTACCTAAAAGATTAACATCTTGTTGATGTTGAGACTCAAAGAAAATACAGTGATATTTATACATGTTGAATAAATAATAAAATAAACTAACTAAAAATATCAAAGGAAATAAAGTTATCATTTCTCTAGATAATAAAGTTGCCGTGTCAATAAAATTGCCAGATCTGCAGGCAACTAAATGTATATCTATGATTTACGTGATTATCAAAGGCAATAAAATTAACATCTAAGGATTTGCATAATTGATCGATGGCAATAAAATAGATAAAATGATCTTCATAAAAGATCTACATGGTAATAAAATTAACTTCCTATTCTACTAATTAAATCTATCTAAAATTTTACCTGTCACAACATAAGTTTTTAATTATTTCTAATTTTAATAAATAAAATAAATAAAATTATTTTGATTATTTATTTAATATTTTTCTTAGTTTATTTTTAATGGCAAAAGAAACATCTTGTAGCTTTAAAAAAAATAATATATTTTGTGATAGAGATCCTCATATTAAAAAATAACAGATTATCAAACAAATATTGTATCATACTTTATTAGTTGTGATAAATATAAATTAGGTGAAAAATGGTATAGATTTATTAAAATCAAACAAGAAGAAGTTGATATTTCATTTCTTTAGAGTTTATTTGCAGGTACTGCATCTGTAAGTATTATTTTTTCTTTTTTTTTAAAAAAATTGAAAATTTATTTTGCTTTTTAATTTAAATTTTATATTTAAATATAAATTTTTTTATTAATAATAATAATATTAAAAAATTATTTAATTTTTTAAATAGAAGAAATAGTAAATATATGTAGTATGATTGTATCTAAAAGTTGTAAATGAAGAAAATGTGATAATTATTTAAATTTATTTTTATTTTGTTTAAATATAATATATTCAAATGATAGAACTATAGTTTGTAGCAAAATAATTGATAAGCCTTATAAAGTGCGTTTTATCAAATTTGTTCCTCATGATCTTAATAAATGTCTATTTATAGCACTTGTATGTATTGAAATACATAATCATTTTCCGTCATCACCAGAAAAAATTCCTTCTAGAATTAAAAATAATTTAGAATTTTTAATCAAAAAAGCTATTTAATAAAATGATGATATTACTTCAAAATCAATTTTATCAGGTATATAATATTATTAATATTTATTTATTTATTAATTAGTTTAATTATTAATTAATTTAATTTTAAATATTAATAAGCAATTTAATTAGAACCTATTTTAATAAGGAAACTTTAGCAGAAGTTCATTTTTCTCTTAATAACATAGATAAATTACATTACTTAATAGATAAAACTTATCAGACTTTACATCTTTTTAGACAAAGAATTATAGATGTCTATCATAATTTATCAAATTCTAATTCTGATTTAATAAATTATGTTCATAAAATTGATAAATTTTTTTTACATAAATTAATTTAATTATATAATTTAAATTAAACTATTTATAATACTATTTTTATTTTATTTTTAATCTTTTTTCAAATAATGATCAAGTTATTATTACTTGTATACTTGATGATCAAGCTAAAAAGGTAATTACACTTGATTATTTTTAAACTGATGTTAGTTTTAAATGAGTAAAAGGGAAAATTAATGAATTTGAAATAAATACATATAATTCTGAATATCATTTAAGTAAGTGAAATTTTATTTATTATAGCAATTAATTTAAATATTATTAAATAATATATATTACTAATTATAATTTTATTTTAAATATTATCATTTTGTTGAATATTTTTACTGCTAAAGGATAGCATAGATTATTTTCATCTTTATTTCAAATAATCCATAAAATAAGTGGTCAATATTTAAAATTTCAACATATTTATGATAGCAGTATCAAATGCATTTTAACTGATTTAGATTCAGCATAAGCTAGAGGGTTAGGATTAGTATTATATGATTTAGATAATACAAAAAATTGGAAAATACATTTAACATTTATTCTTAAATCATGTCTTATACATTTTGAAAGGTATTTATAAAATTTGTATTTATTTGCATATTTTTATGACAGATTAATTTTTTTAATTTTAATTTAATTAATTTTTTAGAAATTTACATCACAAAACTTTTGATATAAATACAAAAAATTTAATTAGACAAATTCCTATTGCAACAAGTAAAAATCAAGTTTATAAACTTTTTTAATAAATAGAAAATATAGATGATAATGGAATTAAAGGTATTTATTATTATTTTTTTTTTTAAATATTAAAATTATCAAAATTTAAAATTTTTTTTTTTTATAGAATGATTGAATTATTATCAATAACCATATGTTAATCATGAAATTTGATGTAAGAGTAGATCAAATACTAATAATGCAGAAGTGGTTCATTTAATAGCTAATAAAAAAGACAAACAGTTGAAATTACTATTAAATATTTTAAAATAAGTTAATTTTTTAATTATAGTAATTACAATTAAAAAACTAATTAATTATAAATTAATTTAAAGAGAAAAAAGATATGATACAATATTTGAAATTCATGAAAAAAAAGAGGTTCCTTATACTTATAGGGATAAAAATGAGATTAAAAGAGTTAAGATTTAATTATATGTAAAAGTAAGTAAAATTTATATTTATATTTGTTAATCAATTTTATTTATTTATATAATTAACAATTTTTATGATATATAGTTTCTCGTATCCAAAAAATAAAGAAATTTATGATAAATCAGCATTATCTACTAAATTATCAAAGAAAAGAAAGGCATCTCTATCTGTTAATAAAAATAAGTAAAAAAGTAATCAAGGGAATAATGTTTCATTAGAAGATAAAGGAAAGGTATTATATAAAGAAATTCATAAAAAAATTTTGAATTAGAGCTTAAAGAAAGGAAAATGAATTTAAAAGAGCGTGAAATTAAAGTAAGAATTGCTGAGGCTAAAGCATGATTAATGGAAAATAAAGCTGAAACATTAGAATTAGAAAATCAACAAAAAAATAGCTTAATATTGTATGTTAAAGATGAATTATTTTTGAAATGTAAATTTAGCCTTATTAGAAAAAAGTATAAAAATTATTATAAAAATATATTGAATTCGATCATATAAAACTTTTTATAACAAGTATTAAAAATAAGTAATTAATGCAATACTTTATATAATGAACTAGAGAGCCTTTATAATAAATTATTAAAAAAATTCTTTTTTAATTAAAAGATATAGATTATCAGCCCTTAAACTTAAAATATATATAAATTCAATTTACTTACCGAATTTTACAAAATTTATTTAAACAATTTAAATAATTTGCATTATTGCATAATATTATAATTAAAATCAATCAAAATAGATTTTATTTGAATCTAATGTAAATTCATTAGAAAGGTAAGATTGACAGGGTTTATTTATTATATTTAAATGGAATTAAATCAATGAATTTATTTTAACTTAATTTAATTTAAAAATTTTTATTTAATTTTTTTTGAATGAAGAATTTTTTAACGATTTTATATTAATTTTTATTTTATTAAACTTTAAATTTTTTATATTACCAAAATTTTTAATTAAATTGAATTTTGTGATAGACTATACTTGATTTTCCTATTTTATCCAAATATATTAATTTGAAAAGTATTTAACCTTAAATAATTAAACTTTCATTTTTTAAAGCGAAGTTTAGTTTATTTTTTTTAGAAAAAGTAAAGGAGAGCAGTTTGCTAAATAAAAAGGCTAATTTTATTTATATCTGATAGTCTAATTATCAATTAAATAATAATAGTATTATTTTATGATATTATACTAATTGTATATCCAATTTAATCATTAAAATTAACAAAATAAATTTAGATTAATGAATTTCTGTATCGATATTTTTTTTATTTTATTTTTTTTTTTGGTCAGATAAATTTAATAAATTTCCTATTGGTTAATAATAATGTATATTTATGTGATATTTTAATTTCATATATACATTTATTCATATATATATACATCATTTGTATATATATATATAGCATAAACATATGTATGTATAAATAAAATACCATATAGCATACTTTCTTAAGCATACATCATACATACATCACTATATATATATACATTAGTCACCATATCATACTTATTTTTGTTACCCCTAATTTAAATTGATGAAAGTAAATACAATAGCAAATATAATTAATTAACATATATAATAATCTATTAATTATACTTATTAATTACTCAAGTATTAGAAAGAATAAATAGTAAAAAATATTTATAAATTGTCTAAATATTAGACTTTGCTATAAATTATACCATATTAATTAATTGTAAAATTTCTTAAAAATAAATACATTATAATAGAATCAGTTTCAGATACTCCTACTAGTGTCTAAAATTCAAACCCAGAATTATGTATGTTACTATTCTTACAATTTTAAAATACGCCAACTACACATCATTAG